GTGGAAACCTGTAATCCAAGCTACTTGGGAGATTAAGGCTGGAGGATCTCAAATTCCTGGGATATTTAGTAAGATCTTGTCCCAAAATAAAAAAATAAAAAAGAGCTGGGGGTGTAGCTGAATGGTACAGCACTTTTCTAGCATGCAAGAGGCTCTGTGCCCAACCTGCAGTGCTGCAAAATAAAAAACAAACAACAAACTTAAATCTGGCTGGTTTTAAGGTGACCACCTTGTATATTTCTGTAGTTGCTTTATTTCTAAACCACAATGACAGATAATAACACACAGAACACCCTGAGATATTTCACTGCCGTCTTTTCCCGATGCTAGGGCTTTTCTGCATCTAAGTACTTTCTGATGATTTGGAACAACTTGAGCGTCTGGGTCTGAGATGGTAGCATCTCACAGAGAAGCAAGGAGCAGGTGACAGACTTTTGAAAGATTCTGCACTGAGCACTACGCTTGGGCTTCTTCAGAAGAGCAGGCAAATCGGGCTTATTTATGCAGAAGCAAGAAAGGAGCGAGACAGCCTAGCCTGTTGTTCCTTTCTCCCCTGTAAGTACATCTGTTGCACGCTATTTTTTACTTCAGCGTTGATGGATTGGTTGTGTGATGTACTTGGATTAAATACTTGGGCTGAAGCATCTCATATTTGCCCAGCAGCTTCACTTTGTAGCAGATTTACATTCCGTCTGGAATGCCAGATTGAATTAAATGCTGTTTTAAAGCCTGCAGTCTGATGAGAATCCTTATCCAGTCAGCATTTTCACCATATTTTAAAAATAAGCATCTGCAGAGAAACGATGCAGATCGCGGTTTATTTTGAAGGGAAGGATCCAATTTGGCTCACTGGGAGCTGATGTAGTTGGTGACAGAACTGAGGCTGGGCCTGCGGAGGGCTGAGGTCCAGGTCCAAGACTCTCTTCCATCTTGGGTCACCATGCCCCACTTGTATCACTGTATTGGGACCCCCCCCTTCTCCCTTCCCCTCTGTGTTTTGGTACTGGGGATTGAACCCAGGGCCTTGCAAATGTTAGGCATGTGCTCTACTACTGAGCTACTAATTCCATTCTTGGGGACACTTGCATGAGGATTTCATTCTGACAACTTCGCTGCTCTTCTGTGGGGACCACAACCCTCTCTGGGTTTGAGACTTGGTCTCTCTTCACTTTTTTTTTTCTTTTCACTTATTGTCATCCTGTCCTCATGAAAGAAACCCATGGAAGGGTGATGAGGAGCAGGCTGCCATTGATGTGTGGAATGCTGCTATCCAGAAGATGGGTTGGACAAAGTGGATTTCCAAGGATCCTCACCTCTGTCTTTCTGTATAATTGTTCTCAGCCTTGGTTCCTCACCTGTAGAATGGGTATTATGGTTTAGATCTACAATGTCCCCAAAGGCCTCACGTCTTCACAAGTGGCGCTTTTGGAAAGTGGTTGGATTATGAGGGTGCTACAGCTGACTTCCTGTTAGGAGGTAGGTGGGGGTGTGACCTGGAAGGGTGTAGATTCCTCCCCAGATCTTCCCTTCTCCTCTTTTCTTTTTTCTTTTCTTTTTGTCTTTTGGAGACAGGGTCTCACTATGCAGTTCAGGCTGGCCTCGAACTTGCAACGATCCTCCTGCCTCAGCCTCCTGAGTGCTGGGATTACAGGCGTGCGCCAACACGCCTGGCTTCCCTTCTCCTCTTGCTGGCTGCCATGATAAAAGCCACTTTGCTATGCTGTCCTCTTCCACCATGCTATTTCTGCCTTGGAGCCAGCTGACCGTGGGCTGAAAATGTGGGCCTTTATGTTGTGGGTTTGTCCCAGCAACAAGAAAGGGATTAAGACAATCGGGATAGTTGTATTTACCTCATATGGTTGAGAGTTTAAATCACATAGGTAAATTATGTAGTGCACATAAACAATACCAACTTACATTCAAGTTGCAAACTTTCACAGGTGTATTGTTTGTGTAAGACTCACTGTGTCAGCTTATGAATAAATCCTACTTACAAACAATTCTCCTGGGGGGCTGGGGATTTAGCTCAGTGGCACAGCACCTGCCTGGCAAGTGCCTGGCAAGTGCACCTGCCTCGTGAGTTCAATTCCTGGTACCAGAAAAACAAAACAAAACAAAACAAAAACAACCCAATTCTCCTGGAACAGAGCTCATTGGAAAAAGCCAAGGACTTTCTGTATTAGCTAGCCATTGCTGAGTAACAAATACCATCCCAATTTAGCACCTTAAATAGCAAATATTTTCTCAGTTTCTCTACTGCATATGAGGACTCTGTAGTGGCTTGGCTGGGTGGATCTGGCTTAGGACCTCTCGTGAGGCTGTATTGGTGGCTGGCTGGGGTTGGCTGGTTTTGGTAGGATCCATCCTCAAGATCATTCATGTGGCTGTTCACAGCCTGGGTTCCTTGCCACATGAGCCTTTGCACAGGCTGCCTGGATATCCTTGTGACAGGATGGACAGCCTCCCCCATTTGGGGGAGGAGAGGAGAGAGCACAATCTCTCTGTGGGCGAATCTCTATGGCTGAATGCCACTCTTTATAATTTAATCTTGGATAAGATATCCCATCCCTCCTGCTGTTTTTAACTGCTTAGTGTGAATCACTAAGTTCGGCCCATCCTCAACATGAATTCAACTCTTCCTTTTTGGCAGTGCTACTGCTTGGTGTGGTTGGTCACCCTAGGGCTCATGAGTTGCAAGCTTGCTCATTGGTGTGGTGATGCTGGGAGGTGGTGGAACTTTTGAGGTGCAGCCTAGTGAGGTGACTGGGTCACTGCGGGTGCTGTCCTCAGAAGAGACTAAGGTAGTTCTTGAGGGATGCTGGTGGTTCTCTCCAGAGCCAGTTGTCATGAAAGAGCAAGACTGGCTCCTCCCTGTCCTCTGGCTTCTTGATTTGTCATGTGATCTTTCCTTCTCACATGGGCTCCATATTATATAGCTAAAGTGTCCTCGCCAGAGCTGGCCAGGTATCAGTGGAATACCCTTGAACCTCCCAAACTGAGCGAAATCAATTTTTCTTCACAAATTACCCAGCCTCTGGTATTTTGTTATAGTGACAGAAAGTTGATACGGGAGAGAAGTATCAGAGTTTTTGGACACACAGCAGGTACTGAGTAAATGATTAGGTATTATGATTCGCTTAGCAGACAAATTCCCTTTGGTGAGTTCACTTCTAGGCAGACTCTCCCCACTTTTATCACATGAAAGGCATTTTGGGCTCTACAGTGCACTGGATACTAAACACAGGAAGTCTCCACCAAGTAAGGATTTTTATCTTTCATTTTCTATCACTTGGGAAGGAAGATGTTTCCAGAGATCTTCACTGTGCTGGTTCGATCCATCCCAAGACTCCGTGAGAGGAACACACTGCTCACTGTTCTTTAGCTGAGCACACGATCCTTGGTGCTGCCTCTTCCCAATTGGTGGGGAAGGAAGTGGCTCACTCTATGGGGATACTATAAGGACACTGCCTGGCCAAGGAAGCAAACACGCCTGCTAGGAAGACCTCCTGTGTCCACTTGCTCCAGCAACTCCAAGTTTCAAAATTAGAAGTTTTTGGAAAATAACTGTTTATTGTACTACAGATAACTACAAAATGTGAACAAAAGAGGAAAAAAAATCCTCTAAAAACAATCTAACCATGCCGGGCCTGGTGGCACACGCTTGTAATCTCAGCACTCAGGAGGCTGAGGCAGGAGGATCGTTGCGAGTTCGAGGCCAGCCTGGGCTACAAAGTAAGCTCAAGGCCAGCCTGAACTCCATAGGAAAACCTTGTCTCACAAAGACAACCCCCCCGCAAAAAAACCCCCACAAAAACCCACAATCAACCATCGTTGAGAGTTTGCAATGTTTCCTTTCAGTATTTCCTACTGCACATGGCTTTTTCTCTTTTTTTGAGATAGGGTCTCACTATATAGTTCAGGCTGGCCTTGTATTTACAGTGATCCTCCTGCCTCAGCCTCCCAAGTCCTGAGATTACAGGAGTGTGCCACCACACCCAGTGACATGGGTTTCCATCTTTATAGTTACAACTAATTCAAGTAGTTTTGAGTAGTTTCACATTTTGCTCTTTTCCCACTTGATTACATATGTGTTTGTATTACCTGTTTTTTTTTTTTGTCTTTTTGAGACAGGGTCTTACTATGCAGTTCAGGCTGGCCTTGAGCTCACTTTGTAGCCCAGGTTGGTCTCGAACTCCCAACGATCCTCCTGCCTCTCCCTCCCGAGCGCTGGGATTACAGGTGTGTGCCACCACACTAGGCCTATTACCTGGTTTTTCATCACCATCATTTTCAGAGCTATGTAACAATTTGTTGGGCTGGAGTTTACCAAACAATTCATTTATTTACTTCAAGCAGTTATGCATTTTGTGTTACATTCTGCCATATTTATCCATGCTATTTTTCCTTATCATTTTCTCTAAAATGGTCACTTAATTAGTAAGGGCTGAATGGGTGTGTCTGGAAATGCTAAATATTTTCCTCTGGAGAAATCTTCTGTTGCTTTCAACTTGGAAAGTCTTTTCTTTGACTGTGATACCCCTCCTCAACCCATTTCCATACAGATTCAAAAATTTTATCAGAAATTACCTTCATCGTATGAAATAGGGATGTAAAATGAAAACAAGCTGGGTATAGGGGTGCATACCTGTAATTGCAGCACTCAGGAGGCTGAGGCAGGAGCATTGTTGTGAATTCGAGACCAGCCTGGGCTACAAAGTGAGTGCAAGACCAGCCTGAACTGCACAGCAAGACCCTGCCTCAAAGACAAAAAAAACCCAAAAAAACATGAAAACAACCTGGGTGTAGTGGTGCACACCTGTAATTCCAGCACTCAGGAGGCTGAGGCAGGAGGATCACTGTGAGTTTGAGACCTGTCTGGGCCATAAAGTGAATTCAAGGCCATCCTGAGCTGCATAGCAAAACTCTGTCTCAAAACAAAACACCCAACAAAAATATTTTTTCCAAATTACTAACCAGTTGGTCTAACATTTCAGGCAAAGTTCTGTGCAATTTTTTTTATTGGTTTGTAATTCTTAAAATCATCTCCTTATTTACAGTAGAGTTGCCTTCTGGCCTCCTGATTATTCCCCTGACTTGCCTATTTTGTACCAGTAGCTTCCTGTATTAAAAAAAAAAAAAAAAAAAGGTTGTAACTAACAGGAACTAGGTCCAGCTGCAAAAGATGAGTGGTGCTACCAGGAAGTCCAGACTTGCTGAGAAAAGAAAATGAGGCAATAAAGTTAAAAAATGGGAAACCAACACAGCAGGAAGGTGGCAGCCACCCAAAGATAGCGCCCCCTAAAGCAATGGCACCTGAGAGCATGTAAGAAAAGGGGAGGGGGCTGCTAGGAGCTTGTCTTGCTAGGGGATCAGCAAAGGCGGCCATGATCTTCATTGTTTCGAACCAACTACTAATTCATAAGAAGAAAATCCGGGAAGACTCCTCTAATGAACTGAGCAAGAATGGAATTCTGCCTTATTAAAAACAAATAAGGCTGACTGATATTTTCATGAAACTGACAACTTGGCGGATGGAGGGAAAAGCAGCAGATGTCTCGTATTCAGGCGTCTGTCAACTCCTTGTTACAGCCTCGCAATCTCACTGGAGCACGCAGCTCAGCCAGCCTCAACCGGGTAGGCGAGATGTGCGGAACAGGATCTGGTATCTCGGGGCAGAGTCCTGATTAAGATTCATTTTAAAAATGCTTTGGAAACGGCAGGGTGGGATGACAGCATCCAATCTGGGTTTACATTTAATCTCTACGAAATACAGCGAATGCCACATCCTGGAAGTAAGGAGAAACCCTTAGAGAAATGTTTGCCCTGTGCAAACTTTCGCAAGTGGGGTCATGAGGCAAACGGTTCCTCGCAGCAGGATAAGCCGGCTGGAACCCCTGAAGTGACCAGAGGGAGAGGTGGCTGCGGGTCTGTATCTAGCCAAGAGGATGTTTCCTGGAAGAGGACTGGGCTCTTGAAAGCCCAGTGTCGCTGGAATTCTGAGCGGATCCTTGAAGAACTAGTGACAATGAGCAAGAAAGCAATTCCCCTGGTCCTGGGCTCTGAGAAGCCACTGTGACTGCCTCATGTACACACGCTTTCCCAGGCTTTACTCCCCAGTGAGACGGAAACACCAGAGGCGACAGTGTGCGCCTGGTGACTGAGACAAGGCAGAGGAGCTGAGTGCTAGGCACTCCCGAAAGCCTCTGCAAACGTTTCCCTGCACACGGTGAACAGGATGCTGGAAAAGCAGCTTCACTCGACTTGACTGGGCAGGGGCTGGATGCAGGAGGGCACGGGGCGGGAGGGTCACAGAGCGGCAGGTTCCTCGGGGCATGACCCTGGCGACAGGGCGCTCTCTGTGCCTGCGTTCTGCTGCTCAGGGAGGCGCCGGCTCAAGTCTGATGCGTGCAGGGAGCATCTGCTTGCCCCATGCCAGCCTCTGTGCCCGTGAGATAAGCCAGGCACCCCCACCCCTGCTTCTGCTGCTAAGTGCAAACCCTGCTGAGAGCAGGGGCCAGGACGGGCGAGGCAGCATGGCAAGAGGACAACGCGGACAGGCACTTGTGGCTGGGGACTCTGGGAGGCAGTCAGCACCTCCCAGGCCGAAGCCTTCAGCAGCAGTCTGGGGCGACAATCCCACCTGCCCGTGACATGGCGGAGAACATCAAGCTCTTGTTTTAAAACTCCTGCTGAAACCCCTTATGAAGATGGGGATGGGTTTCACTTGTGAACTGCTCCGCTGGGAGGACCTGGGTCCATCTGAGGGCTGCGCAGGAAGAAAAAGCAGCAGGTGGGCCCTTGAAAGGGACAGGACGGGCCGGTCTGTGTTCGGTGATGGTCTGCTGGAGACGAGACAGCTGTGGAAGGCAGTGCACAGCTGGCAGAGGACGCCTTTTTCCTGACCCTGCCACCTGGCACCCAGGGACCAAGGCAGGAGGGAAGACCACTGTGCTGTGGCATCCCAGCCCTTCTATGCCCTGGAGATTGCTTTGGTGCAGCCGCAGGGAGGACCTGCGTGCTCTCCGGCAGTCACACATCTGTGGGAGCGTGAGGCTGCAAGGACCCAGGAGGCCTAACAGGGCCTGGGGGAGAAACGCAGCCACTCTGCCGGCAGCCTAGGAGAGGACAGTCAGAGCTCCTCCTTGTTGCTGTCAAGGGACTGGATCAGATGCCCTGCGGCCAGGGGGCGACCCACTGGTTCGTGGTCACCAGGCTGCCGACTGCTGTCCTCCGGGACCTGGCCCATGGCGGCATAGTCCCGCAGCAGCCCGCTCTCCACGCCGTGGTCCCGAAGGCTCTTGGTGCTCATGAGCCCCTGCATTCGCAGGTAGCCCTGCTGGCAAAAGGGGGGCAGCTTCTGGCGCGTGAGGGCGAACAGGAAACAGGATTCTACACAAAAACAAAAGGAGGAGGAGTCAGGCTGGGAGGCGTGGGGCAACAGGTAGAAGAAGAACTAGCCATGCTGCAGGCCAGGTTGGGTGCTCACCAGGGGCCTTGTCTAGCACCCTCCCCATCCCTTGAAACTGGGAGCTGACCTTTCTAGGCCTCTCACAGCTGGAAAGGTTGTGGACTGTGAGCATCTATGAGGTCCAAAAACAGGAGGGTGTCTTGACATTTTGGGAGAACAAGCTCCAAAATGAAAGCACACCACAGAAGTGACGGGCTCCCAGAGATCAGCTTAGCAGCATGCTCTGCATGAAGCCAGCCTGGGGTGGGAGTGCAGTCACCCATGTGCAGCCCTTTAGCCTTCGCTTCTGGATGATATGTGAGTCATCCTTTTGTCCAAAGTATCCACACTGTATATGCTACCCACTCATTAGTAGCCATGTTGGTTATCAGATTACTGTTCCCTATTTTACTTAATAATGGCCCGCAAAGCACAAGAACAGTGAAGATGGCAATTTGGATATGTCAAGGAAAAGCCACGAAGTACTTCCTTAAAGTGAAAAGGCAATAGTTCTAGAGTTAATAAGGAACTGTGTGCCCTGGGTGCTAAGATCTATGAATCCATCTTCTCTCTATGAAATTGTGAGGAAGGAAAGAAATTCTTGCTAGGTTTTCAGCGGCACCTCAAACTGCAAAATTACATAGTGCATATCTGCTTAGTGAAAATGGGAAGGTATTATATTTGTGGGTGGAAGACTTATAAAGTCTTAGAGAATGTGTTCTGAGCTATCAGCAAGGTAATAAGTGACACCGAGCCATGTGCTACAGGCACTGGGCTTGCTTTTCTCTGGGGTTTCAGGCATCCACTGGGGACACACTCCCTGCAGGTAATGGGGGACTGCTGTACTTATATGGCTGTGATTGAAAAAACAGGAGAGGAAACAGTTGTATGCTTAGTCTTCTGAGGGAGTTACAGACAAGCTGGGAAGCTGCAGTGTCAGAACCCGGCTAGAGCCAGGTATGGTGGCGCACACTTGTAATCCCAGCACTTGGGAGGCTGAGGCAGGAGGAGGATCGCTGCAAGTTTGAGGCCAGCTTGGGCTACAAAGTGAGCTCAAGGCCAGCCTGAACTGTATAGAGACCCTGTCTCAAAAAGACCAAAAAAAAGAACCTGGCTAGAGTCCTTTTGCAACTTTGGGGAAACCTTTTCACCTCCACCAGCCTCTCTCATGTAAGACGTGAGCATGTGATGAAGGATACTGTCAGACTGTCAGGCTCCTAGGGGTGAACAGGCTGAAAGGAGCTCCATGTATGTCCCTTGTCCCTTCCAGTGTTACCTTTTTTTTTTTTGAGACAGGGTCTTACTGTATATTCCAGTCTTGTCACTGAACTCACTAGGGACAAGCCTCAAACTCAAGGCAATCTCACGCCTAGCTCCTATGTTATAGCTGACTCCTGGCACACAGGCTCCCAGCAGGAGAGAGGGTGGCAACCCTTTCAGAGCAGGGAAGAGAACAGATGCTAGGGAGGACTGCAAGGTGGCTGTTTAGCCAATACCACCTTCTGAGGATGTCACCCTTCTGCAAAGTCGGGGGCACAGATGCCCAATATGGTCTGAGGCCAGAACAGGCAGCTTCACAGTGCTAAGGGGGTGGCGCGGAGCCTGGCACTCTGCCAGTTGGAGGGGTCCTCCCTGGTCAGGGCAGCCACACGCAGAGCTTGCAGGGTACAGCAGTGTCTAGGAAGGGGGTGCAGGACATTAAAGGGCTGGGACAGTGTCTGGCTGGGACTCACAACTCAGGGCGGGAATACGGTCCCTGCCAAGTACTGGGTGTTTTTTGTTTGTTTTTGCAGTATTAGGTATTAAACCCAGTGTCTCAGTATGGAGCTGCATCCTCAGCCCTTTAAATTTTTTTGTTCTAATTTTGAGACAAGGTCTCACTAAGTCAGTAAACTGCCCAGGCTTGAACTTATGATCCTCCTGCCTCAACCTCCCAGAGTGCTGAGATGATGCAGTCATCACATCTAGCTGACACTGGGCATTTTTAAAATGTTCCCCAGAACCTTGAGAAGTGGGGGGCATTTCTTAGGAGCTGAGGACTCTAGCCTGATTTCACAGGTCAGTGTATGGTCCAGGTTCTCGGCCTGTAGCCTGCCAGTTCTTCAAAGGTGCTTTGCTCTGGCTCTGTGAATTAACTGTGTGCTTGCGTATTATGTACATGTATGTGTATATTATTAATGATCTCCCGTAACACATACAGTATTATTTCAAAGCAGACTCAGCATGAAACAAGGACTCCTGCTCTCTGACTGGACCAGACTGGACTCTAACCTGATGTGATATGGGCAGAGTCTGAGATACACAACAGTACTGAACAGATGTTTTCTCAATTTAAAAAAAAAAAAAGGAACCAATATTCTAGGCATTCAGAGGTTTACTAAATTTTTTTTTTTTTTTTTTTTTTTTTTTTAGAGACAGGGTCTCACTATGTAGTACAGGCTACTCGCAGAGATCCTCCTGACTCAGCCTCCCAAGTGCTGGGGTTACAGGCGTGCACCACCACGCCTGGGGTCAGGGATTTAAAAAAGACAAAACTCTGGCTTGTTTCAATGGACTCCCCTTCTCTCCCCAGTCCTTCTCTGGGTGTAGCTCAGATCCATCTTTCAGTTCACCAGTTCTCTCTTTATCTCCATACCCAGCAGCACTAAACCTTTACCTTGAACTTCTCGTTTTGTTTTATTTCCTGTTCTATTTATATCCTTTCTCAAAACTGCCTGCTTTTGGACATCTCCATTCCCTTAAACATATATATTATATGATCATACATACATATACAGTTATATATGCATTTCATGTACATAGGCACGGATTGAACCCAGGGCCTCATGCATGCTGGGCAAGTGCTCTACCACTGAGTCACCTACCCCCAGCCAAAATGTAGGTCAGTATGGTGAGGGAATGAAGAGATGCTCTCCTGTTTTCTTTTCTTTTTTTTTTTTTTTTGTCTTTTTGAGACAAGGTCTCGCTATGCAGTTCAGGCTGGCCTTGAGCTCACTTTGGAGCCCAGGCTGGCCTCGAACTCGCAACGATCCTCCCGCCTCAGCCTCCCGAGTGCTGGGATTACAGGAGTGCACCACCGTACCTGGCTCAACTGTATTTCTCAAGGGAAAGTTTGCATTTGCTTCTGTGACCTCCTCACCACATTAGGCCTAGTGGTTGGTAATTCTCAGGGAAGACTGTTTTCACCCCGCTCCATGCTGGGCCCAAAAGATGCATCTCTTCCTTTCCCTCTTGTAGCATTTTCTGCTTCTCTTACCCTGGGACCTAAGATGTATTTGAGGGTCTTAGATCTCCCAGGCAGCCCCATCTCATCTTCCTGCCCAAGTGCTGGTCAGTACACACCCAGGACAGGGGCCAGTAATGGGCAGCAGGCCCAGTCATGGTTTGTGCTTCCCACAGTGTTAGGCCTCTGGGAGTTTCTTTACTTTCCCAAAGGTCTTTTTTTTTTTCCTTTGGTTTTTGGTTTTTTGAGATACATTCTTGCAATGTAGTTCAAGCCATCCTTGAAGTAGCTGTGTCACCCAAGCTGGCCTCAAACCAGCAATCCTCTTGCCTCAGCCTCCCAAGTACTAGAGTGAGGAGTGGCGGTGTGCGCCTGCAATCCCAGAATTGTGGGAGGCTGAGGCAGGAGGATCATAAATTTGAGCCCAGCCTGGGCAACTTAGTGAGACCCTGTCTCAAAATAAAAAAGGGCTGGGTGGCGGGTACAGCTCAGTGCCACAGCACCTGCCTGAAAAGTGCGAGATCCTGACTTTGATTCTCGGTACCAAAAAATACCAATTTTTAAAGGGCTGGGTATATAGCTGGGTTCTGTCTCCAGTACTGCAGAAACAAACCACTACCACACTAAGTACTAGGACTACAGGTGTGCACCACCATGCCCGGCTCCCGGACAGTTTCTTTTTGTTTTTATTTTGGTCTTTTGGAGATAAGGTTTCACTATGCAGTTCTGGCTGGCCTTGAACTCACGTTGTAGCCCAGGCTGGCCTCAAACTCGTAGTGATCTTCCTGCCTCAGCCTCCCAAGCACTGAGATTACAGGCCTGGGCCACCACAGCCGGCTTCATGTGCAGTTTTTAAGGACATGTTATTCTGTAGTTTTAGGGGTATTGGGCTGGGAGGGAGCTTCAGTAAACTTCTAGCCCAGCAGTTTGTAGGCAACAGGAGGCCAAGGTTTGGACTTTGAGATTTAAGTTTGAAGACTCTGCACAGCATGGATCTTCTGCACCTGCCCCGACTCCTGGCTCAGTTCCTATGTCCTGGGGACTCAAGTTACCTGCATAGAAACTTCGAAGGTCGGTGTCCAGACAGTTCTCCAGGAAGCGCCTCAGCGGGAGGATGTGCCCCACCGGGGCCGTCCAGTCTGTCAGGAAGTCTTCCACGATGTGGTGGATGGCTGTGGGCCGCGGCAAGGGCCAGTGTGCTGGGCGGAACCTCACCTCCTGCTCTGGAGGGGGAGGCGGGAAGAGACGTCATGGCCAACCTGGCCATCTGCATGTCCCCAACATCCTGCCATGCTTTTTTTTTTTTAAGACAAGGTCTTACTATGTAGTGCAGGCTGGCCTTGAACTCACAGCAATCCTCCTGCCTCAGCCTCCCGAGTGCTGGAATTACAGGTGAACACCACTACGCCTGGCTTTTTTTTTTTTTTGAGACAGAATCTCACTATGTACTTTGGGCTGGCCTCAAATTCTTGGTGATCCACCTGCCTCAGCCTCCCGAGTGCTGGAATTACAGGTGAACACCACTACGCCTGGCTTTTTTTTTTTTTTGAGACAGAATCTCACTATGTACTTTGGGCTGGCCTCAAATTCTTGGTGATCCACCTGCCTCAGCCTCCCGAGTGCTGGGATCACAGCGTGTGCCACCATGCAGCCCATCTGGTGTGCTCTTGACACACTGCAGCCCATTCACCGCCACCTTCTGACCCTTGGAAGGTGACACAGGGAAGAGGACAAGCGCTGCACGGTGGTTTCAGAGGGCAACTAAGACTGATGATGTGAAGGTGGTGTTTGACCAAGACACATGTGGAGGCCCATCGTGGCTGCTTTAAAACTGGTCCTGCTATGAGCCCTGCATGGACAGCACCTTAGGACTCCTCTAAGGCCCACTTCCTGCTGCTGTGGACCCTCTTCCATGGTGCCTGGTCAAGGGCTGGGGATATAGCTCAGTGGCATAAGTGCCTGCCTGGCAAGTGCAAGGTCCTGAGTTTGATTCCTGGTACCAAAAAAAAAAAGTCATGGTGCCTGGTCAAATGGCCACCGATCCGAGACCTGACTGTCCTTGTACTGGGAACTTGGCTCAAGGTGACCATTTCCACCTCATACTCAGTACAGACCTGCACCCCATCCCTCCTGCCAGTTGATACTACCTCTGCCCTTGGGAGCAGCCACAAGCTGGGCCGCCCTCTCCCCTGGCTGCACTGCAGGCATTCTGTGCGCTGTCAGATCACCCCACGCGCTCCTACACGCAAGGCTCTAATGTCATCCCCATTTTACAGATGAGGAAGGTGAGGTTCAGAGACGTTGAGATATGGCCCAATGTCACACAGCAGAACTGGGAATCTCACCCAGCTTTTTCTACTGTTTACCACCTCCGGTTCCCGGTCCCCTCCACTTTACTATTCAGCCTGCAGGCTCCCATCCCCCACTGTGGCTGGCTTCTCTGACAGCATCCCCCTTTCAGTGCGGTGCCTGGCAATCACAACACTCCAGTGTGGCCCAGGCAGGTCATGATATGCGGCAGAATCTGGAATCGGCATTCACCATTCTCTGACCTGCTCCTGCCTGGTCTCTGGGCAGAGTTCCCCAGGGGTCCCCTTTCTGTCAGCCGAAGGGGTTCTGCAAGGGCTTACTGCTAACAACTCTATGGACAGTGGGCCCAAGGGGGGCCACCTTAGGACGTCCCGGCTCACCGGTGGGGAGGTGCCTGTAGTAGTAGATGACAGGGTGGAGGAAGTTAGACTGCCAGGCGTCTTCCGTGTGCCCCACAGACCGGTCATGGAAGAAGACGTCCTTGTCAGGCCCCGAGAAGTTTTTGCCATACTCCATGTTGATGACGAAGAGGCCGTGCCTGGCCGTCCGTCCTGTGAGGGTCTCCAGCTGGGCCAGCATCTGCATGGGGAACTCCTGCAGGTACTCAAAGCTTGTGGCATTCCTGGGTGGGGGCAATTGGGGCCTCAGCACTGCGCAGAGGGGAGAGGAGCAGGCCTCGTGGGGTGGGGGCGTCCCTGCCGCTGGCATCAGCGTGCAGTGTGGACCCTGGCTCGCTCCCATCCTGTGACCGCTGCGTTCTTCTACCTAGGGTACATTCCAGAAACCGCGGCCTGCAAAGGGCACCAGGGAGGGCGCCGTCTGGGTCGGGAGGATGGCAAAGGAGAGGCCCTAGGGAGGGAGCGAGCGCCCTGCTGTGTGGAGGACTGGGAGGCTGGGTGGCTCTCCCCCGACCCCCGTGGGGGAGCGGGAGGGACCCAGGAGGTCACGCGGGGCCGGGGCTGTGTGTGCCTTCTGGGAATATGGGCTCCCTGGACAAGGAGCGGCTGGCCCCTGGAGTGTGGAGCAGGGGCCACATCAGTGACTGCTCTTCTACAGGGAGCATCCCAGCCGCTGGGCCGAGGGCACACCAGGGCTGCACCCACATGCAGGGATGAGGGCAGCGGAGCTGGCCAAGCTGCTCAGACTCCAGGAGGCGTAGCTGGCAGGCTGTGCCCTCAGGGTGGGTGTTGATGGGAAGGGCAGCTCACGGGTAAAGTGAGCTCAGTCCGAGCATTGAGCACAAGGACTTCCTCTCGTGCCCCTGGGCTGGGCGTCCCTAGCCAGGCTCATGCTGCCCCTCTGGCTGACAGTTCTTGCTCTGCTCTGAGGGCCTCTGGCCTCCCCGCCAGCCCTGTTCCCACCTGTTCTGCGCTGTGTCCTTCTCGGGCACTCAGTGCCACCACTTTCCTGGTTGATAAAAAGCAGGACCAACTGGCCCTGGCTCGAGGGAACCCAGCTCCAGAACAGACTCTGTCCCCTGCGGGCCTCACTGTAGGAAGGGACACTGGGTTACCCTTCACGTAGGACAGAGACAGCCGCACGGTGCGGGGTGTTCGGTAAGGCAGGGGGAGGGCAGGCAGGCGGGGATGGGAGGGGGTACTCACTCCTTCAGCAGGATGACGTCAGCGAGCACCCCGAACATCTGGTAGAGCCCGGAGGCCTCGTTCACGCGCCGGACGATGGAGTCGGTCAGCTGAGTGATGGGGTGCTCGGTGCGGGGCCAGGCGATGCCATGGTGGCGACGTTCCAGGAGCCGGTGCACAGCGCGTACTGACGGGGCCAGAGGGAGCAGGAAGCGGTACAGGCCTTTAGAGCGGGGCTGCAAGGTTCCACGTCAAGAGCCAGACGGGGACGGCTCCTGCTGAGGCAGTGCGCCGCTCAGGGACACACTCCGTGCCAGCCCTGGGGTGAAAGAGGCGGCAGACGACAGGCCAAAGGATGGGTGCCGCTGGCTTTGGGCCACCGCCCCGAGCGTGTCCACTCCTGCTTGAGGCCATCTGTTTATGGAAGTCCCACTGCCCTCACCTCACACAGGGTGCTTCCGACCCAGACACGGGGCCCGCTGTCCCCTCTCTGGTCCTGTTTCCATCAGAGACTCCCACGTGGAAAATCTCAGATTTGCCCTCACTCTCCTGCCCCAATCCAGCCTGTCTCTCAGTTCCATTTGAGATGCTCTGTGCATCAGGGAGACGGTTTTCTGTACCTCTGGGGCTACCGTACATCACTGTGGGACTAACATACCACACACAGACAGCCGCTCCTCCAAAAGTGATCAGTAAAACACCCACATGCACTAAAGGCCGGGACACATGCAGAGGGGTCACCTGTAAAGGAACCCTGGGGGCCAAGAGCTGGGGAGATGTTAGCTTCGTTAGATGCATGGCTCCTTGGAGGAACAATGGCTAAGCTCAGTTTTGCAAAAGGTTCGGGATCACACAGCTTGGGTGTGTGGGAAAGTGCCCTGGGCCTAGGGAACAGTGCATGCGAAGAGGTAAAGTCCTGAGAGTGCTGGGCACATTTCAAAGAGCAGGATTAGCATGGGGAAGAGGCGAGGGAAAACGCAAGGGAGGACAAGCTGATGCAGCCCACCGAGCACGGGAGGCTATGCTGAGGTGCTGGGAATCTGCGGCAGCGGGGAAGAACACAGTTAGTGGAGGATGAGGGTTTTTGTATAAAGAAAGATTGTTTACAGCCAGAAGTGGAGGCACACATCTGTAATCCTAGCTACTTAGGAGGCTGAGGCAGGATGATTAAAAGCCTTGGGCCAGCCTAAACTGTGGTGAGACTCTATCTCAGAAGAAAGAAAGATTTTGCTGCAGGGGCACACCTGTAATCCTAGCTACTCAGGAGGCTGAGGCAGGAGGATTATAAATGGATTATAAATTCAAGGCCAGCTTGGGCAACTTAGAAAGATCCCATCTCAACATAAAAAAATAAAAAAGACTGGGGAAGTCTCTCAGTAATACAGCATTTGCCTGGTATGTGCCAGGCTGTGGGTTCCACCTCCAGTATTTGAAAAAGAAAAAGATGGTTTTTGCATGTTTGGTACTATGTACTGGATGGGAAGCCAGTATGCCCTGGGGCAGGATGGCCAGTCAGTCAGGAGAGGCAGAGAGGCCCATCGCAGGCGAGGGCAATGCAGGGGCAGTCTGCAGAGTGATTTAGAAGGAGTGGACAGGGTTTCCAGCATGTCCTACCGCCCACGTGCTAGGGGTCTGTGCCACCATCTTTGTCTCTGTCACTTCGCCTTCCTGTCTTGTTTCCTTTGGGACCGTCCCTCCGCTGAGCAATGAGCAAGGTCCAGGCAGACCCTTACAGGGAGGGACAGACTCCCTGCTATCCCTCTCCCCAGGAGGCCCGTCCACTGCTCTGTGACTATAGCATTGGCTGCCCATGCCCCAAGGACTGTTCCTCTCTTGCCTGAAGCTTTGTGCTTCTGTGTAAGCTTCAGAGTGGAATGGGTTAGATTCACCTCTACCGTTCCCTGGCTGTGTGACTCCGGCCAGGTTACTTCTCCGGTCAGCAGAGAATGGGGTTAAAATAACAGGCTCTGTCTCTCAGGACTGAGGGTGAGGTGTGCGAGCTGGGGAAGAGCGGGGGACAGAGGAGGTAGGACAGTCAGGACAGTGTCTGCCAGGACAGTGGGTACAGGGAGGGGCTCAGCGCGGGAGTGAGGAGGCCTGGCAATCATTTTGGTTTGCAGATGGCTCCAGCTCTGTGCCAAGTCCTTCCCTAACAACACATGTGGGGCATAAGATCTATCGCCTGGAAATCAGCAGTGAAACACGATTATCTTTCTCTGCCGAACTGGCAGGATGGTAACAGGTAAAAACAAGCATTAAGGAAGGCAATACGGGGCAGTGGACTGCATACGTATGGACAGGTCAGGTAGCTGGACGCAAGATCCTTGTGGTTTTTACGGCATAATTAACTATGTAGCAGCTGCCACCCAGCACTACAGCCTCCACTCAACAGCCTGAGGAGCTACCCCGGATGCCAGCAGCGGCAGGGGTTATGATGCTGCCGGTGGGATGTTTTGCTGTCGCTTCCTGTTTGCAAAGGAAGTGTGGATTTAGGAGGGTGGAGAGCTCATTTCCAAGGCCGCTCAAATGGGTTTAGGTAAGAACCAAGAGGCAGAGACTGTCACTCCCCAACAGGTGAGTGACAGGACAGGGACCACTCCACAATCCAGACCACTCCTCCCTACTGGGAGGGCTCTGGTCTGCTCTTGAGAAACCAGAACAGAAGATTTTTGAAAAAAGGAGCCTGAGTCTGCAGTTCAATTCCTATAAAAGTGGGAAACATTAAAACTCTGACTCTTGGGTGTTTCTTCAGAATAATGGAGACTTAGGTCACATTAACAATTACATTATCCAAAAGAGAAAAAGAAAAAAAAAGAAAAAAGGCAGGGCGTGGTGGCGCATGCCTGTAATTCCAGCACTCAGGAGGCTGAGGCAGGAGGATCCTTGAAGTTTGAGACCAGCCTGGGCTACAAAGTGAGCTCAAGGCCAGCCTGAACTGCATAGCGAGACCCTGTCTCCAAAAAGACGAAAACCAAAACAATAACAAAAAACCCAATTACATTATCCATATTTAACCTAAAATAAACACTATAACATTGTCCTCATCACACTCATGAAACAAAACACCACCACTCACCTCTATAATCTTTATCATTCTATTATCCCACCAGGTGTGGTGGCGCACACCTATAATCCTAGCACTGGGGGGGGGGGGAGGCTGAGGCAGAAGGATCGTGAGTTTGAGACCAGCCTGGGCTACAAAGTGAGCTCAAGGCCAGCCTGAACTGCATAGCGAGACCCTGTCTCAAAAAGACAAAAACAAAACAAAACAAAACAAAACCATTCTATTATTCCTAGAAGGTTGAACTCCACTCACTGGAATTTTACCCAAATGAATCATTATTCAAGAACAAAAAAGGTAACATTATTATGCTAACATTCATAGCTGTTCTAGCGTTATCAACTTCTATTTTCATGTATTAATATACCCCACATCCCTAATAATATTTCCAGCAATCAAACACATAAAAACAAATGCAAATTTCAAAATTTTTTTTTTTTTTTTTGAACCAAGAATTGAACTCAGGACCTCACGCTTGCCAGGCAGGTGCCGTTCCGCTGAGCTATATCCCTGGCCCTTTTTTTATACCATCATTTGCTATACTATCAACTTGTTTTTGGATACCAGGCAAGTGCTCTACCCTGTTTTTTTAAACCCCTTTTTTTGATTTTTTTTTTTTTCCCTGGTACTGGGAATCGAACTCACGACCTCGCGCTTGCCAGGCAGGCGCTGTGCCGCTGAGCTAAATCCCCAGCCCCCCAGGCAAGTGCTCTAATACTGACCTAATCCCCAACCCCCTTCAGAATTTTTACCTTATTTTGAGACAGGCTCTTGCTAAATTACGCAGGCTGGCCTTGAATGCACGTTCATCCTTCTACCTCAGCTTCCTGAGTAGCTGGGCTTACAGGCGAGTCACCACACATGGCAACTATCATTTCTTTCTCTCCCCCTGCCACCACGACTGTAATTTAGGTTACACAGACCAGGAGCCTTCAAACCCTAAGCGAATGCCGTACACTTCAGGATTACGGACTTACTCTACATCCACTGAAAAAAAAGCAAGCACTTTAAACTAAATCCTTACTGGAGTGGTGAAATCCACCCAGGGACATTCAGTTAACAGCTAAAAACAAACAAAAGCTAAACGCCCTGGTCAACTGGCTTCAATTTTTTTTTTTTTTTATTATCTTTTTGAGACAGTGTCCCGCTATGCAGTTCAGGCGGGCCTTGAGCTCACTTTGTAGCCCAGGTTGGTCTCAAACTCAAAACGACGCCACTACGCCAGCTAACTGGCTTCAATATACTCCTCCCTCTGGTGTGGGGTAAAGAAGGTGGGCGAAGCGCCCACAGAATTGAAGCTGCTCCTTTGAATTTGGAATTCAACATGAATCTTCACCTTGGGACTCGGTCTTTAGATTCAGTCTGATGCTTGTTCAGCCAGTTTTTCCTTCTACTTCTGCTCATAAACCACGAATTATTCCCCACACATCACAAAGCTCTCAGTACACTATCTGTGCTCCAGTGCGGGAACCGGCGAGAGGGCACTGCTTACAAGGCTTTCCGTTCCATCTGAGCGAGGGCAACCACAGCTTCCTGTACGAGATGCTCAAAATTACAGCGCTGGTGTTAATGCTCAGTCCTTCCTAACGATGCTTTTCATAGTATTACCAATCTTGGGGGAATTATTATTCCACTAATAACTGGGGCTTGAGATATAGTGAGGAAATCATCAAAACTCTGGCCCTCAGATGCTTTTTAAGAAAAATGAAGGTTTGAGCCAGGTATGGTGATGCACACCTGTAGTGCCAGCACTCTGGAGGCTGAGGTAGGAGGATCACTTAAGCTCATGAGTTTCAGACCAGCCTGGCTGGATACCACAGCAAGAGATTTCCTCTCAAAAATAAATTTGTTTATTTTTGTCTCTTTGAGACAAGGTCTCGCTATGCAGTTTAGGCTCACTTTGTAGCCCAGGCTAGTCTCAAACTGGAGGAACAAAGATCCTCCTGCCTCAGCCTCCTGACTGCTGGGATTACAGGCATGTGCCACAATGCCTGGCTTCAAAAATAAATTTTTTTTTGTTGTTTGTTTGTCTTTTTAAGACAGGGTCTCAATATGCAGCTCAGGCTGGCCTTGAGCTCACTTTGTAGCCCAGGCTGCTCTCGAACTTGCAACAATCCTCTTGCCTCAGCCTCCCAAGTGCTGTAATTACAGGCGTGCGCCACCACGCTCAAAAACAAATTAAAAAAAAAAAAAAAGGAAAAATAGAAGTTTGAAGGTTTCACAGCCACCTTGGAGGAAGCTGGTAATGCCACAGGACCATGTGTTCACAGTGATCAGCCTATTGAAAGTACCCAGTTCATTTTTCTCTCTCGTTGTCTACTTCCCATTTACCCTTAAAAAAAAATCACAAAGCAGCACTTTCTGGTTGGGGATTATTCTAGTGCAATGAATCAATTTTTTATTTTTGTTGTTGTTGGTTTTTTTTTGTCTTTTTTGAGACAGGGTCTCCTTATGCAGTTCAGGCTGGCCTTGAGCTCATTTTGTAGCCCAGGCTGGTCTTGAACTCGCAACGATTCTCCTGCTTCAGCCTCCCAAGTGCTGGGATTACAGGTGTGCGCTACCATACCCGGCCATGAATCTATTTTTTAAAAAAATATGTTTTTGCATACATGCAAACATTTTCAAGTTGGCAGATAATTTGTAATTTCAGTTCTGAATTCTGAAAAAGAACTAATTGATATAATCCAACTGCAACTTTTTTTTTAAGATAGGATCTCACTATGTAGTCCAGGATGGCCTGGAACTTGTGGTGATTGTCCTGCCTCAGCCTCCCGAGTGCTGGGAGTATCGGCGTGCACCACTTTGCCCAGCTCCAGTTGTAATTTTCACCGAAATCTGTATCACCCAACAAGTCTACACGAGCATGATGCTTCAGAGCTGCCCGATGCCCAGCTATGACTTTATGTGGCCCTCACAGTGGCCTGTGAGAGCGGTGAGGCTACTTCCTGGACACCTCCAATGTTTGGGATCCCCAGCAGGGGGTGAGCTAGGTGAAAGCTTCCCCTCCAAGACCACGGTCCAGCACTGCATTGTTCAGCTTACGCTGGCCCCAACCACACCCCTGCCGCCCCACGGGTATCTTCTTTTACACTTCAGCTGAGGCTATGAAAACCCAGGATCATCTGCCCAGGACAGGGCCGTTACGATAAGCAATCCCATTAATGCTCCTATAAATGGGGAGCGTGCTTAAACCCTGGGAATAATGTCAGTGGTTCTGCCTGGGGACGGGAGACCTCCCAATCAGGCTCACCTGTGTACCGGAAGCCGTGGATGAAGCCCCCTGCCGATTTCCGGTAGTCTACCGAGTGGCTGGCGGTGCCCAGGATAAAGAGACCCCGGCTTCCTTTGGACTCATAGCTCGCTCTGATCAGTGGGTACTTCCTGCTGAACTCGCTCCCAGAGGAGAGTCGCAGGGACCTGGGAGCGGACAGGGATGTTAATGACAGCAGCTGCTGTGGACCAATCACGTGTCCATGGAGTATGTACTTTACAGGCCTCATCCTAACCTCACCAGGGCCCTAGGAGGTGGGAAGATCATCTCTCCCGCACAGGTGAAGTAACTGCGGCTTAGCGCAAGGACACGGCAGGTCAGGAACAGAGCCAGATTGAAGCCTGACACAAGGCTGGGCTCTGCTGTCACCTGATGGGGAGAGAGGGTCTGGGCAGGCCCTGGCCAAAACAAGTGAGAGACTAGGTGGCTGCTTTGACTGTAAGCCTCACACTGGGCAGCAACATCTAAAAACCAGGCTCGGTGAAGCAGTTCTTCAACATACAACTACAAATAGTTTCAGCAACGTTTACTGAGCAGATAGTATACGCTAAGTGCTCTTCTGTTAATAACTGCAGGAGTCAGAGACTATGCATGACCCCCAGTGTAGAGATGAAGAACTGGGGTGTGTGTGGGAAAGTAACCTTTCTAGAGCTCTCAGACTGGGTCCGCAGAGACCCTCAGGCTCACCTGGAGCCTGGCTCTGAGTCCCTGTGCTGCCAGCCTCTATGCAAGTCCAACACCACATGTCTGAGCTGGCCTGGCCGTGTCGCAGGGGGAGGTCCCCACCCGAATGAAGATTCTGAGGCGCTCAGTGCCAGCCAGGACTGACAGCAGACAGAGCTCCTGTCCGTGGCTCACCGAGGGCCACTCTACCCCCACGGAGGGTCAGAAGGGACCTCCCCGAGCCCCACTCACTGGTTGAAAATGGAGAAGTCGAAGTTCCAGCCCAGGCAGCGGATGACCCGGTCGTAGGCCACACGCATGGCAAAGTTGTCGTTGTCATCCTGGGGGAGGGGGATGGCGTCGGCGCTCTGGCTGGCATTGGCCTCCTCCAGGAAGAATTTCAGGGTGATGTGGAACTTGCCCTTGGCATCCTTCACGATGGCCAGATCTCTCAGGTCCGACTCGAGGAGCCCGTCCAGGGACTTCAGCTGGTAGGTGTCCAGCAGGCCATTGTTGATGGCTCTGGGGCCCCAAGAGAATGCAAGGAGAGGACAAGGGCACTCAGAGCAGGGCTGGCAAGGGTTTGGATGTGGCGTGTCCCCAAGGGCTCACGCGTGGAGAGCTGGGTCCCTAGTGGGGTGAGGCTGGGAGGTGGTACCTTAAAGAGGCAGGGCCCGGTGGGAGATCACCAGGGTCACTGCCCTGGGAAGAGATGAAGGTATTTCTTATGCAACTCTCAGGAGTAGCAGCTAGAGCACTGTCATGAAAGAAATGAGCCTGGCCCTGCCCTGGTTCTGGCTTCCTGTCTCACCATGTGACATGTCCGTCTCTTGTGCACTACTGTCACCATGATGCCATGTGCTAGGAGGTATGCAGGACTGGGAGTGGGCAGGCTTACTAGAACCAGCACCATACTGCTTGACAGCCTCTGAAATGATGAGCTAAATCAAGCTCTTCTCTTTTTAAACTTCCCAGCCTCAGATATTTCATCACAGTAATGTAAGACAGCCTGATGCAGGGTATGCAACACGCAAGCAGGGATGCAGCATACCTGAGGTCTCCAACGTAGTGGGTGGCCCAGGACAGACGCACGCGGGAGCGGCTCAGCATGTGGATAAAGTTTGTGACACCCAAGATGTTCTCCGCTGTCTCGAAGGCCGAGTTCCCTCGGCCCAGGATCAGTACATTCTGACCCACAAAGTCCTCAGGGTCCACAGACACGGACTCATAACCCTCTGCATGCTCGGAGCCTGGGAAGTCCACCTGGTTGGGGACTGACAGGCCAGTGGCCACAAGAAGAACACTGCAGGTGGGGACAGAGGAAAAATGGCTCAGTTTCTTGGACTAAGACCACTAGTGCACATCACTCTCTGGACTCTCCTGCCTCGCTTCAACTGCTGGCACCTAAAAGAAACAGGAGAGAGCGGGCGTGGTGGCACACGCCTGTAATCCTAGCACTTGTGAGGCTGAAGCAGGAGGATCGTTGTGAGTTAAGACCAGCCTGGGGTACAAAGTGAGCTCAAGGCCAGCCTGAACTGCACAGCGAGACTCTGTCTCAAAAAGACAAAAACAAAGAAGAAACGAAACAAAATAGGAGAGCACCCTTTCATTCACTCACCATACTGACCTATCGCAGGACACCTGGACGACCACCTTTGTCTGCCCCTGAGCCTGCAGGAAGTGGTATACGTCCCTTCACGCTGGGCTGGAGTTATACCACATGTGGGGATTAACATCACTCTGGGGAGAAGCTGGTGCTATGAGAACTGAAAAATGTTCACTTTGAACACCGCAGGGGGACTAAGTATCCCACTGAGCGATGAGAACAGAGCCTGACATGCTCCCTCCCTGCTTCTGCCGTGCCCGGCAGGTACACGTATCCGCCCAGGTGCCAGCCCAGTGCTCGTGGATTTGTGCATCGTGGTATGTGCTTCTGGGCGAGCCCCAGCAGGTGTTCCGTAGCCAGCTTTCCAGGTGAGGAGACACAGGCCCTGCGGCCCACAGCCCAGAGGGATTCCAAGGGCAGCAGGGCCAGAATCTGCACACTAAGTCCTGCTCGTTGATGGGTGATCACAATCCGGTGGTGGGCAGCTGAGGCGCTGGATCCAGCCAGCCGGGAGAACAGTTTGACCACAGGGTGGTTTCTTTTCTTTTCTTTTCTTTTTTGGTACTGGGAATCGAACTCACAGAAAGAACATGAACTTTGGAGTCAGAAAATAAGAACTCAAATTGAAGCTCCAACATGTATTAGCTGTGTGACAGCATCTGATTACTCAACTTCTCTGAGCCTTAAAGAAGTTTGGGGCGCCTCCCCCAAATACACACAGTATCGGGCTGCCTCCCAAGCCAAAACTTGTCTCTTTTTTTTGAGACAGGGTCTAAAGGCTGGGCTTCAACTCACTATGTAGCCCAGACTGGCCTCCAACTCATGGGCATCCTCCTGCCTCAGCCTCCTGAGTGCTGAGATTATGCCACCACACCTGGCTAAAACTGGTCTTTGCAAGTGCTGCCCACTGGGCCTCCTACTGTTGTTCAGTTGTGAAATCCCTCTGGGCTAGTCTAATACTCAGGGGCACACTGGAGCCCACATGCCCCAGTGTTTGGGAACATCAGTTTGAGGAGGGTTATAAGTAGGAGTATTTTTGGTCTTTTTGAGACAGGGTCTTGCAGTGCAGTTCAGGCTGGCCTTGAGCTCACTCTGTAGCCCAGCCTGGTCTCAAAGTCACAACGATCCTCCTGCCTCAGCCTCCCAAGTAGTGGGAGTACAGGCATGTGCCACCATGCCTGGCACAAGTAGGGCTTTGCAGCTACATAAATTATGCTTATGCTGAATACTCAACACTGTGAACACAAAGACCAACAAATCCTGATGGAAGGAAACTGTTAGCATTTTCCAAACACTGGACCCCAAGTTTTTAGGGGAACACCTGAAACAGTAACTGAGCTGAACGTCTTAGCACTGAGTACCAGTGGGGGCAAGGAATGAAATGCCCCATTCCGTCCCTTGCCCGCACATCTCAGGAGGACCAGGGGTGGCCTCCTTCTAGGAAAAGCCCTCTTGGCTTAGCAGATGACCCTGGCGCCTTACCTGCACTGGTACACCTGGCCCTTCTGGTTGGTCAGGATGAAGTAGTGGCCGTTCCAGGCCCGCCGGTCCTTCTCCAGCGTGACGTGGACAATGTTTGTGTTGTACTGCACGCGGAGCCCCAGCCGGTCCGCGAAGTCGCGCAGGTAGCGCACCATGTCGCCAGCATCGGGGAAGTAGGCTTGCGAGTAGTGTCTGAACAGCAGCCGGGGGTCATGGCTGAGCAGCGAGTTCCAGTCGTGGCGGAGGTTGAACTCCGCATTGTCCTTGCCCGTGTACCGCTTGTTGATGCTGATAAGCTTGCGGTGCCGCGGGTAGCGCGTGAAGAAGCTGCCGGGTGCAGGCGCGCGCTCAAACACCTCGTAGTCGCGGCCGGCGCGGTGCAGGAAGGCGGCCATCTGCAGCCCCGCGGGCCCCGCGCCCAGCACGCAGTAGTCCCGCTTCGTGTGCGTGCCCAAGGCCGGGCGCAGGGCGAGAGACAGGAGCAGCCCCAGGGGGCCCCAAAGCGCGGCGCACAGGCTCATCCTGGGGAGATCAGCGGGGAGGCCTCGCACCTAGGGGCCTGGCAGGAGACGCGAGCCCCGCGCTCCGAGGAGGCGCGGCCAGTTAGAGACAGGGCGGGCTTTGGAGCTCATCGGCCCTGGCTCCGTCTTTCCCAGGTGCGATCTGGGGCGCGCAGGAGTCCTGCAACTCTGCACCCCATTTTCAGGATCTCCTTTCCCTTCTTATTGTCACGGTAGCCTCCATCCAGAGGAGCAGATGAGGTCCCTCCCGCAATTCTTGTCTCTTGCGGGGGCGCTACACGCCCAGCAGGAGCACAGATCTCCCGGGCCGCACCTCCGCCCTCGGGTTAGACCCTGACAGGTGTGCCCGGGCGAGCCTCGCCCGGGTCACGTGACCGGGATGCCCAGCACACCTGCCGCCGCAGAAGGCACACGCGAGGACCCCTCCTGCCCGCGGACGACCGCGCCAGGAGCTGCTGCCGCGCGTTCGCGGTGCCCAGACCGCGCTCCCGCGCCGGGCCGCCGACAGCCGGGGCCTGGAT